GATTCGGAAACACAGATTGTTACTTTTCCTTTCATTCATGACGTCTATGTAAGTAGAATCAAAATGCTTAATCATCCTCTACTTAATGGAAGCTGATCATGAATCGGCAATGTTGTTGACCTAACCTGAGGAACCTGAGAAGTCATTCAAAAAGTATTTATTGAACCTCTACTTAGAACAAGGCACACCCTGAACTTGTCTTCCTAGCATTTTAATTTATTGGTATAGAGAAACATAACAGGTAATTAAAATACAGTGTTTTGGTTATCTATTGCTGTGTAAAAAAAAAAATCCTAAAATTCTGTTTTGTTTTGTTTTAATATATTTTTATTGATTTCAGAGAGGATTGGAGAGGGAGAGATAGAAACATGATGAGAATCATTGTTCAGCTGCCTCCTGTATGCCCCCTTCTGGGGACTGAGCCCACAACCTGAACATATGCCGACCAGTAATCAAACCATAACCTCCTATTTCATAGGTTGACACTCAACCACTGAGCCAGGCCAGCTGGGCAAAAACTCTGTGTTTTAAAAAACAATGACTTTGTTTCTCACAATTTTGTGGTAGCCTGGTATCAGCTGGGAGTTCTGTTTTCTGATGCTATAGCAGCTGCAGTTAGCTAGGTATTGGCCTGGGCCTTGGAGGTCCAACATGTCTGCTCATCTCTCCTCATCCAGTAGCCTTACCTGGGCTTCTTGAGATAGTGGTGGCTGGCTTTCAAGAGGGTGTGTTCCAAGAGTACAAATCCTAGTGTGCAAGTCCTATTAATTATGTACTTGTATCACTGACTCATGTCCAACAGTCAAAGCAAGTCACATGACCAAGCCCACAGTGAATGTGGGAGAGAACACATAAGTTTATGAAAACCAGGAGATGTGGTTCCTTTGGAGGTCACCAACAGAACAATCATCCAAACAATATGATAAATACTACTAGTTCAGTACAAAAGGAACACATGGAAGAAGCACCTGACCCAGATTTAAAGGTCAAAGGTAACTTCCTGGAGGAACAGACATTAACTTGAGGTATGAAGAATGGGTAGACATGTCAGGGACATTTATACTTTTTGCCTGTTGAGCAACCTTATACAACTTGTGGAATGCCATGTAAGATTTGTACTAGGGAGGAGAAATAAGATGGCAATATAGGTAAATGCTGGTACTCACTTCCTCCCACAACCACATCAAAATTACAACTAAAATACAGAACAACCATGATTCAGAACCGCCTGAAATCTGGCTGAATGGAAGTCCTACAACTAGAGAAGTAAAGAAGAACGCACATTAAGACAGGTAGGAGAGGTGGAAGCACTGAATGGGCTGGTCCAACACCCACATATAGTGTTTTTTTTATTTGGGAGGGATATCTCGGCTGCAGAGGCCTCTCATGAGGATCAAGGGGTCCAGCCCCACACCACTCCCCTAGATCAGGGTTCCAGAGCTGGAAAGAGAAGCCCCTGTAACTTTGGGCTGTAAAAACTAGTTGGGGTTGTAGCTGAGTGACATGGAAGCTGATGGAGATGCAGGCAGTTCCTCTTAAAGGACCAGTGCATGAGTTTACAAAGTCCTGCTCTCTCTGATTTCAGGCGCTGGGACAGCTGGGGGGTGGGGGTGGGGGTCCAGGGACATACAGGAAGGAACTGGATTGTCTGGCATCAGGGCAAATACTCTGGAGTGGCTTTCTCCCAGACAAGGGTGCTTACAGGGGTCATTATTCCTATGCTGAGACCTTGCATCAGCCTGGTTCATACTTTCACTTTGCCCTGGTGATTCCCTGATATTTTACCCCATCCAATTTGCAGCCTCACCCAAGCTGTTTGCAGCAGCTTTTCCTATGAATGGCCTGTCCTATCTCAGGCTTTAGACCAGTGGTTCTCAACTTTGGCTGTACATTAGAATCACCTGGGAATCTTTTTGAAATCCTGATTTCTGGGCCTCATCCTCCAGAAATTCTGTTTCTTTTTTATGGGCTCGGAAATTCTGTTTCTTTGTTATGGGATGGGGCCACAACATTAGTAACAAAGAAACAGAATTTCCGGAGGATGAGGCCCAGAAATCAGGATTTGAAAAAGATTCCCAGGTGATTCTAATGTGCAGCCAAGGTTGAAAACCACTGCTTTAGACTTTTCTAAAATCTCTCAAACAAGTAGCAGCTGGCATCAGCAAGACCCAGAACTAGCAGCAGTCTGCCTTGCTTCACAGCTTGACCTCACCTGGACATTCCAAACCCAACAAAAGTAGCAGTCATCTCCAGATTGCTCTGTAGTTCCTGACAGGTGGCCCCAGGCAGTATCTGATTTTGCACCTCCTGGGAGATCCCAGAGCCAGTGCACCTGGTGGACAGTTTCAGTCCATACCAGATTACAACTCTACACATCCATGAGCAACACTCTAGGGGCAAACTTAGTGAACACCAAAGCCCCACTGCAGCAAGTCCTGCTCCAGAGGGGTGTCTCCTGCACAGCAGCTCTTCCATTATAGTCACAGCTGGTCCTCACAGTCAATTGGCCTGGAGGTCTACTCCTCCCAGTGATGCCAACAATAGTCAAAGCTCAACTATAACAAAACAGTACAACATAGACCAAAATATTGTTGTTGTTGTTGTTGTTGTTGTTGTTGTTGTTCTTCTTCTTCTTCTTCTTCTTCTTCTTCTTCTTCTCCTCCTCCTCCTCCTTCTTCTTCTTCTTCTTCTTCTTCTTCTTCTTCTTCTTCCTCACAGAGGGGCACACCTAGAGTGCCCAGCTCTGGTGAGTGGGGAAGCTGAGCCACTGGGCCTTACAGGACACCTACTACACAAGACTACTCTACCAATTCCAGGAGACATAGCAGTTCTACCTAATACATAGAAACAAACACATGGAAGCAGCCAAAATGCAGAGACAACAAAATATGTCACAAGTGAAAAAACAAAAGAAATCTCCAGGAAAAAGAACTAAATGAAATGGAAGCAAGCAAACTACTAGATACAGAGTTCAAAATAATGGTTATAATGATGCTCAAGGATCTTTTTTTTAAAATATATGCCCGCAACAAAGGTACATGCCCCGGACCGGAATCAAACCCGGGACCCTTCAGTCTTCAGGCCGACACTCTATCCACCGAGCCAAACCGGTTTTGTCAATGCTCAAGGATCTTAATGAGAGTTTCAAGGGACTTAGTGAGACTTTCAAGGATCTTAGTGAGAATTTCAAAAGCATGAAAAAGGACCAGTCAGAAAATAAGCATACACTAACTGAAGTAAAGAATAATTTACAAGGTTTCAAAAGTACAGTAGAGGATTCTGAGAATCAAATCAATGATTTGCAATATGAGGAAGCAAAAAACACCTAGTCAGAAGAGCAAAAAGAAAAATGAAGATGGTGAAAGAAACCTTTGGGACAACTTCAAGCACACCAATATTCAAATTAGGGGGTGCTAGAAGGTGAAGAGAGAGAGCAAGAATTCAAAACCTATTTGAAGAAAAATGACAAAAAATATCCCCTAACTGGTGAAAAATAGAATTACAAGTCCAGGAAGTGCAGAATCCCAAACAAGAGGAACCCAAAGAAGCCCACATGAGGACACATCATAATTAAAATGCCAAAGGTTAAAGACAAAGCGAGGATCATAAAAGTAGCAAGAGAAAAGCAGTTATTTACCTACAAGGGAGCACCCATATGACTGTCAGCTGATTTCTCAGCAGAAAATTTACAGGGCAGAAGGGAGTGTCAATAAATATTCAAAATATGAATAGCAAGGACCTACAAGCAAGATTACTCTACCCAGCAAAGGTACCATTTAGAATTGAAGGTCAGATAAAGAGCTTCACAGAAAGAAAAAACTAAAGGATTTCATCATCACCAAGCCAGTATTACATGAAATGTTGAAGGGTATTTTTTACTAAGAGGAAGAAGAAAAAGAATATAGAAGAAGAAAGAAAGAGAAGAAGAAGAAGAAGAAGAAGAAGGAGAAGAAGAAGAAATATGAATAATAAAATGGCAATGAATACATATCTATCAACAATTGAATCTAATAATCAAAATAAATGAACAAGGAATCTAATGAACAAAATAAACTGATGAATAAAATAGAACCAACTGCATGGAAACATGGAACAGACTAATGACTATCAGAGGGAAAGGAGGAGAGAGGGCAGGAAGAGATTAACAAAAGAACTTATATGCATATATGCATTACCTATAAACGCAGACAATAGGGTACTGAAGGCCTGGGGCAGGGCAGGAACTGGGTGGAGGGGGACAATGGAGCGGGGAAATGGGGAACAGCTGTAATACTCTCAACAATATATTTTTTTAAGATTTTATTAGGTACACTATGAAAATAAAAATCATTCATTTTTCTAATTTGAAAGAATTAATCAACGGTTAGAAGAGAGAGCCAGGAACACACTTTTGACATGGTCATAGTTACAAGCAGGACTGTCTGATAAGATTAACACTATTTCTCCCCTACTTGATTCTGTCAGATTCCCAAAAATACTGACCCTAATTTTTGATTTTGTGTGTCTGTATTTCCTGCTCTTGCTTTCAACTTGATATCAGTGGATTCCTTCAAACTAGCAATGTCCGTGTATTGATGGTTAAGCTTTAACTATTGTAAGATTATAATTTTCCAATTTCTCCACTGATTTTTGGGGTGAATTCTTAAAAACATGTAAATTTCCCAAGAATAGGTGAGAAGAAATTCTTGCACAGAAAATACTACTATTGTGGCTGAAACAAAGAGGATAAGGGGAGAGACCATAAAAATGAGGTAGGAGAGATAGACATCACCATAAAAGGAAGGGTCTCATAAGCCATTTTAAGTTAGAGCTTTATTCTAAGATAAATAGGAAATCACTGAAATTTTTGTAAAGAGGTATGACATGACTATATTTGCAATTAGAAATACCTCCAAAGATTAAATGTGAACAATGGATTGGAGGCAAGAAATCTACTAGAAAGCTAATGAAATCCAAGAGGGAGATAAGGGTGGTCTGAACTTGGGTAGGTGCCATGGTGATGGGGATAAGTGGACAACTTTGAGGAAAACTTGCAAAGAACATTTGACAACATTTGTGATTGATTGGACATAGGACATAGGGGATTGGGTAAATTTTTTTTGTAGTCAGACTTTGGTTTCATGTCCAATGACCTGCCCTAGAAAATACCCCAGTTCCTAAATGCTGAAAGAAAGCAGAGATAAACACCATTTATTCTTGTAGTCTCTCCCCAAGTTATTTTGTTTTGTGGGCTCTCTTCCTCCTTCCTTATGCAGTATCTGTCTTAAACTTGGAGTTTCTAAAATGTTGTCTTTAAAAAATGTGATTTCCTACCACAATACTCAAGTATCTCCCAGAGACAACTTTGTTCCATCATGTCTATTTTAGTTTTTAAAAAAGTGCTTTATCTCATTCTTCCAGCAAAACCAAGCCAAGACAAACCCAGAATGGAATTTCAAGATGAAGAAAAGCAATAAAAAAGTTGTATTTCCATAGGGCCACTGCTAGCCTATATCATAACTTTCTTCTTCTGAAAAAGGAAGTAGTTCTGCTTGGTTGATGAAGCCCCAAGTGGTTTAGTTTCTGGGGCTTATCATTGAGAATGCTGACTGATTTGATGGGAAGGGGCAGAGTATTAGGATCTCTGCCCTCTGTCAGGGGATAGTTCTCCACAGTCCCTCACATTTCTGTACCTTTTGCCAGTACAGGCATGGTCTTTTCAAGGATTCTTATTTAGCAAATAGCCTGGACATTAGAAATAGTATCTCTTCCCAGAGAAAAGGGTAGTTTGTTTACAGTGTAAAACATATGACTCCCTCCAAGGCCAAGGTCAGGTTCGCTTGTATCACATTAAAAACAATTGAGGTTCCCTAAACTCAGGATTCCTCAGCTGCAATGCCAGCCTCCTACGTGTGCAGCATCCATCTGGACATCTCCATCTGGACTGGAGGAGCAAGGGGAACTGATGCATAAGCCTGAAACTCATGCCATTTCCTGTGCTATAAAGTCCTTTGTCTGTGACGCAGGAGTCTTGTGTCTTCTGCCAGCATTCACTAAACTGTGGCAGGCCAATTTGTTAGATTGTAAGTAGAGTAAAATCTCAGATCCTTCAACATTCTGAAGCTCTCATAGATCTTAAATTCTAACGAAAAAGAAAAAACTTAGCATAAAGAAGCAAAATAATTGTAAATTGTCAAAATGTCTAGAAACAGATTGGGGTTAAAATAGAGAGTGTGGGGCTCAGCAAGGGGTAGAGACAGGATAGAGAGGAAACAGAAACCAAGTTGACATGCAGACACATGGAATATGTTGTATTTCTTGCTCACCCTACTTTTTGCAAGGTCTGTATGTGCTCCTTTGCTAGGAATTATTAGATTGTGGTCCACCCTGGAGGACCAAGTTCATCCCAAATCCACAATGTATTTCATCCTATGATTCTAGCTTTCTCCACTGAGCATGGAGAAAAAGGGGCTTTACCTTCATGGGATGCATTTATTCAGCAACTATCTATGCATCTGCCAGGCACGTGAAGTTTATATTCTAATGGAGAAGGTACATGTTACATAAGTAAAATACATAGATGTTAGATTAGATTGTGTGAAGTCCTACAGAGGAAAATAAAGCAGAACAAGGAGACTGGGAGCAGAGGAGTGGACGTACAATTTCAGACAGGTGGCTGGGGAGGCCCAACAATGAAGGGGTCATTTGAATGTGACATGAGGAAGTGTGGGAGGGAGACTGTGGATATCTGGGAAAAGGGCCTTCAGGGAGAGGACATGACAAGAGCAAGGTCCTCAGAGGGTGTACACCTGACATTCAGAGGCAGCAAGGAGACTGAGGGTCTAAAGCAGGCTGGGCCACAGGGATAACTATAGAGGATGTGCTCTGAGAGACACCAGGGACTTTGCAGGTCACTATGAAGATTTTGTCATTTGCTGAGTAACAAGGGGACTTTGTTAGGATTTGATGTTTGGAAGTTAGAGAGGGAGGAACTGGGAGAAAACACAAAGGATTAGGGAGCATTGGCATCAGCATCATACCGAGGTTCTTAGCATTTAAGACTCTGTTCCTGAGACAGTTATCTCAATGTTTCCCAATACTTCACCATTTTCCCCTTTCAGAAGTCACTGCACGCCAGCCCTTAACAAACTAAAATGACCCTCTGCTGGTCTTCCACATACGCAGCAGCCAAGCACTTGTCTTAGGCCCAACTGCAACAGGTGGGAGGAGGGGCATGGTTCTATTTCTTTCCATTTGATTCCTTTCCCAAAGGCAGCAACCCTTAAGGGTGTGTCCAGGAGAATGTCTTTGACAACCAACTCCAGGCAGTGCCTCCCAAGGTCTCTCACGGCTTCTCAGATTCCCATGCAGGATGCTGAAGACCAGTTACCCCTACTACACTGGGAGGGTGTTAGGAAGGACCCAGTGCTTTCCTCTCCTCAAGAGTCTTCCCAGGCAACCTTCAGGCAGCACATGGAGCTGGGTGCCCTCAGAGAGGGGCACCCACATTGACTTGCTGGGTCCCAGACCTGAGGCTGGTGGGAAAGTATCTCCTCCCTCAGCGTTTAGTTGTCTGTTCAAGACAAGCCGAGTCCTTGGGAAGAGGAAGGCACAGGTCAAAAGATGGGACTGGCTTGTCTCTGATACTTCTTGTCCCTGCTCTGTTCAGTTCCAGGAATGATTTTTCATTGGCCTACCTTTGCAACCCCACTGTCGCTCAGGGTTTGGGGTAAAAAAGGAAAAGGTGTCCTGCTCAGTGCTGGAGTCACTGGACCTCCTACCACCTGTCCCACCACCTGTCACCTCAGGCCTGTGTCACTGTGTGAGCTGTTTCCATGATCCTGAGTGTCCCCATCTTGGCATGCTATTGCCTCCATAGGTGCACACCCACATTCATGGGGTTGGATGTCATCTGTAGGTTGTGCTGTGTCAATGTGTGAGTTCAGGAATCTGTGTGCCTATTCAAGAATACATTCTGGAGGTTTCTGCTTCATACCTGTTCTGGATTGGCTTGTGTTCCCCCCAAATATTTACGATGAAGCCCTAACCCCCAATGTGTATAATTCTGGAGATAGGACATTTAAGGAGGTAATTAATGTTAAATTAGGTCATAAGAGCAGATTCCTGAAGTCCTTATAAGAAGAGGAATAGACCTGAGGAAGGTACTTTGCAGAGAAAAGGCCATGTCAGGACACAGGGAGAAGGTGGCCGTCTGCAAGCCAAGAAAAGAGGCAACTGGAGAAACCAAACCTGATCTTGAACTTTCAGGCTGCAGAACCTGAGAAAATAAATTTCTGTTGTTTAAGCTTTCTATTCTGTGGTATTTTGTTTTGGCAGCCTTAGCAAACTGATATGATATCC